GGTCTGATATTGTTTGTGCGTGGGGCTGCACGAACATGTGACTGTGATGGTCCATGAGTATTTGCCTTCCAGAGAGACATTAGTGAGGATGCTTTAATTTAAAAGGGATAATATTTTCCAAGATGAACAGGCGGCTGTGGGAGCTGTATTTCTGTGTCCTGAGTAGCACCTCCAACAATAAATTTGGAACATTTTTAAAGGTAGGAAAGAGGAAGAGCTAGAAGTGCAAAACGGTATCTTAACTTGGTGAGGAGATTTCCTTGTGTCTGCATATAACGTGTTAAATCTGTATTTGCGGGGAGGGAAAAGGCATTGCTCCAGTATCCAGGGTTTGAAATCGAAACCTCCTGATCCGCCCCTCATGATCTGTTCCATTCAATTTCCCATGCAGCAGATTGCGAACCCTTCTATTGTCACCCTTGCGCAGATACACACTTATTAAATGTAAGGAAATGGCAGAATAATAATTTCCCCATAATGTTCTGCAATTAGGGCATTTGCAGGGCTTAGCCAACGCTGCAGAGCTGTAATTTACGAATGACTTTCGCTCGAATTGTTATGCTTCTGGTTTGGGAAAAGTTATGACTTTTAAAGTCACTAGTTACACACATTAGGAGAGTTGCCTAATCTTTAATTGGCCTTACGCTCAGACATGACACACTACACTCAAGTATTTCTTTCAAAGGATTAGGTAAACTATATTTCAGGGCTCTGAACGCCCCTTGCCATGCCTTAAGTAAAACAAACTCGCACGCACTAATCCTCAAAACACAATAGGAAAATAATGCGCAGAGATAAGAGCTAAATCTCGATTCCAAGCGATTATTCTCCATGGCATTTTCACTCAGAAAAAAGATTAGGATCTGGGAATATGTATATATACACATATATTTAGCGTTCAACATTCTGAAGTAGTTTGAATTTTAAATTGCGAGGTGGATTATAAAGCCTTAATGCATTGCTGGTTTTAAGGGATATAAACTGTCCTGCTTAGGACAGGGTAAGGCTAGAAATATTAAAATACATATATTTCTAGCTACCTTTATTTTGTTCTTTCCGAGTTTCTTGAATTTCTTACACAGTATTACATAGAATATACTCTAGAAAACATATTTTTTAAAGAAGTGAAAATAATAGTAGCAAACCCTTTTACTCTACACAGAATAAAATCACGATCTGAGATGCTATACAGACTTCTAAAAGATGAGTTGAACATGAGTATGTTTGTTTGCACATAGTTCGGATAATTCTAGCAACAGAATGTTGTTGAATATTGAGCAATCATGAATTGTTTGCAGACAGTATCTTTCTGTGTAACAAAAAACCGATATTGCTTCAGAAAAGAACCCCTATATCAAAAGAAGCCAAAACTTTTAAAGTGTTTTTATGCCTTTGCCTCATACTATAAAATTTTATGGCATACAATAGAACATGCTACACGCCTATCATATGTAACATTCTGGTATTCCTATTGAAGGAAGTGTGACAGCTAGTGTACTATAAAATCTCCAGCTGTTTATTATGGAAAGAGTTTTCAAGTATGCATTTAGATATGCACTTTTCAAATCTTTCCTGCCCCCTCCCTTTTTTTTTTCGTAATATATACATATGTGTGTTATTGCATGCTCATAGAAACATGCAATACACAAAAGTGTCCGTAATCTATATATCTTACACAGGGGATGACTGTTATTATTTAAAAAATATAATATTATTAAATCTTTGTGGTGCACCAACATTAGTTATTACTGGTTCTTTAACATTAAGGGAAATAGATTAAAAAAAGGATCCAAGTGCAATGGTTTTCTTGGACTCAGTGCAGACCATACAGAGGTTCATGACAATCTTAATTATTTTCTTGCACCTTTCTCTTATTTTGCTGGGAAAGAAACACATACAGTGTAAATTGTAATATTCAGACAGGAGAGCACTAGTAAAATAAAACAGAGCTTTAAAAAAAAGTGTTTTTTTTTTTTCCTTCAAAGTGGTGTTTATGACACAGGAGGGAAAAGATTACAATCTGCCCAGATATTTGTGTTGAATCACTTTACTACAAACCTGAGCAGATGCAAGATACTCACAGCCGGTTTCCATACCCACACATATATATGTATTATCTTACATATATATATATATACGTACACATACATGTATGTATGTTAATTTTTGAATCTCTTTCCTAGCAGGCAACCAGTGCATCTGCACTCCCTGAACTTACTTGCCTAAATAGGAGTCATATGGGCAAGGATCAGACCGTAATGCTACCCAGGGAAAGGCAGAGTTCCTTTCACCCTTTCATTAAAGTCCTGGAAATTCAAAGACTAAAGTTAAATCCGGCCATAAAGTTTATTGCTGAGTAATCACACTCTGGTGAGAACAGTCTACTTAAATAAAAAGAATGTCGAAGTAAACACGCAGCTGGGGCCTACCCCACAATGGGCAGCCAGCAAGGCAAGGCAAGAGGCAGAGCACTGAGCGAGGGGAATATTTGCAATCTTCAATAAACCAAGCCCGTATTTCATAATTTGCAGCACTCTAATGACCTGTAGTCCCTTATATTAATGCTACAAGTTACAGTCAATTGGCTTGCTTAAAAGAAAAAAAAGGTGCAATAACGTATATAAGCATACATGCATACACACATCCTGTATACATAAATACACCGATATTAGTTACACATATGCACGTGCATGGATTTATACAAGCATATGCATAGATATGTGTAGATTTGTACATACATGCACACACGCAGATTACTTTCTATATCTATATTTATGAATTTCTTCTCATTTATATTTAGGATCTGGAAAATGTTACAACAAAGTTGCATACCAAAACACACCACACACTCACAGATGGACATATATACGTAGCTAAAGCTTCCTACACGGGCCCATTCAGAAAAGAAGAATCTTAAGTGCTCCCATACAATCTATGCCACTTTAAAACTAGCTCTGATGTGCGACATATTTTGCCAGTCCAAAGATTATTACCATATCAGCACGCCTCCAACTCTATCATGCCTCCATAAGATACTGCCCAGATAATATCAACCCCTATCTATTTTGCTTCCCTTCTCTTAATCGCCTGCAGTAACTACTCCTTGCTAAACAAAACCTTTCCAAACTTGGAGAGCCTATTGGAGCAAAGGAAGCAATTATCTTCTGCGGTAGTCAAAGTGATTAAAGCTAGGCCCCAAAATCCATCTCTGCCAAAGTCGCTTATTGTGGTTTACTTTGATTTGATCGTTAAAATAGGGAGCTCGCTGCTCGAGAGAGGACGGATGGGGGATTTTTCAGTGCAATCTGCATCGTGAGTGGTTGAAGCTGCCTCTCAGGCTCTGTGGGACAGTCCTGCAAAGCTCGAGGCAGAGAGAAAGGGAAAGGGAAAGGGAAAGGGAAGGAGAAATATATATAGAGAGAGCGCGAAGCAGCGAGGGAGAGCCTCGGCTTTCCAACTGTACAAATAAACTTTAAGGAACTTGTGCACAAAACTTACCTTGACTTGCAAGGAGCCATTTTTCATACAGTATTGAGAACTTGTGGTTTGGATGCTTCTGTACCTAAAACTGACAATTTGAATGGCCAGGAGGCACACGTAGCCTGCAAAAGAGTCAAATGAAGTCCAGCGTCAGTGAGATTATATGTTATGTGGTATATAATGTTGGATGTCAACTCCCCAAAACCATAAAACTTACTTTAATGGCACCACGTGACTTTTTATAGCCAGTGAGCCTATCTGTCTGTGCTATGGATGATTTTACGATCTAATTCATAGACAAAACCCTATTCATTTGGCACCCAAATGTCATATAGCCGGAACTGGGGCTTATAAAGTTTACTGTTTTATAACTTTTAAGGGAAGGCATCAATGTAACCAGTCACTAAATGTGCAAATCTTTAGTTGCTCTTAGAAGCTCAGAAGAGTTAACCATTCAAGCTCTGATGGGGTAAGTAACATTGCGCTTATAGAAAACTAATTGTAGCGAAGAAAGCCAAAAATCTGTAAAGGGTGAAAAGTGGGAATGCGGCTATCGAGTGTTATTAATAGACGCAGAGGGCTCTGATGTGGCTGTCCTGCAAATATACTTAGTGAAACCGCAGGAGAAATTCTAGAGCGATGCAAACACGCCTTGGAGTTAGCACTGTGTTTTAACAAAGCACATGCTTTTTTTTTTTTTTTTTTTTCCTTCCTTCCCAACTATCAGCAAAGAGCTAACAGTTGATTCACCCACAAAGGGTGTTGATTGGGGTCCTGCAATGAGGCTTTCCACCTAACGACAAGGCATCAAGGAGGAACTTATGGCGAAACTTTCAATTAAAAATACTGTTAGCGGACAATTGCAGCGCTATCATAGGCAATGTGCAGCGTAAGCCAGGTAAAAGATTATTACAAACTCTGCACGGATGCATTTTTTTTAAGAGGCAAACCAGGAAGAACCACTCCTTGCTTTGCACAAACCAGATCACGAAAACTTTACAATAGAAAGTTTATTTTTTTTGTTGATTTCCAGTCAGTTTTTTTAAAAACAAATACAAAAAAAAAAGCTGATCACAGTTTGCTCAGACAGCCAGACCTTGACTATATTTGTAACTTTGTTCACAAAAAAAAAAAAGAAAGAAAGAAAAGAAAAGAAACATACATCACAGAAGCTGCGCTTAATAAGAGCCACTTCTAAGAGTTCGTGCAAAGAGTCATATACAAAGGCACAGCAAGGACATACTGCTTGGAATCACAGTTTTCGTCACAGATTCACTATTCACTACACGTAGGACAAGTTCAGTTGATTTCATCATTTCACCTCTACAACAGCATTAATTACACAGGAATTATATAGGTAGTTTGAATAAAAATATTTTTAACAGCTTGGAGCTATACAGACATTAACACTTGACCACACATGCACAGTTAAGCAGGTTGAGTGCAACACATAACATTTGTACTAAACCGGGGGAGGATTTCTTTCTCTCTCTCTCTCTCTTTTTTTTCCTCATTTTTTGTTCCTTTTTTTTTTGCCTTTTTTTTTAACAGTTACTTCAAGTAACACAGCTCGCTTCATATAAATAAGTTAAAACATCTATTTTTTTCAAGACAACGCCATTCAAGACAAAGAAATGTACGATAAAAGCAGATCTACTTATACACGCGAGAGAATGGTAATAAACAGGCTCATGATTAAAAGATGAATAAGGGCGACAAGAACAGGGTTTCTTCACAGAAGTAACACAAGGAAGTTTTAGAAAGTCAACTTAGTACTGACATGAGACGCAGGGTCAGCTAATACTGCTCAGTACTTTTAATTGATCAAATGCTTAGGGACGGAATGCCCCTCCTGCAGCTGCCATGCTCATACTTTTCAGCTTATTATCCTTTTTCCATTTCATTCTCCTGTTTTGGAACCAGATCTTTATTTGTCTCTCTGAGAGGCAAAGAGCATGTGCTATTTCAATCCTTCTTCTGCGGGTCAGGTATCTATTGAAGTGAAATTCCTTTTCCAGCTCCAAGGTCTGATATCGGGTGTAAGCAGTCCGAGCCCTTTTCCCTTCTGGTCCCCCTATGTTGTCTGGAAGAGAAAAGTACATGATTTAGATTCTCAATAGCGACTTGGAGCCTATTGCAGCTACGAGCAGCCAGGACCGTTATTCTCAGTCCTGCTCGGGTTTCGTGCTGGTTTGGACAAATGCTCAACAAGTTTCCCCCCTTCAGCCCCTTTTAGCAAAGGCTTGGGGGAGGGGGGTTTAACGGTCGTGGTAAGTTTTCTCTTGCATTTTGATTTCTATTTTTTAAAAAGATTTTTTTCTTTATTTTTCTGAGACGCATCCCCACATGTCTCCCTCCGGAGAGGCTGATTGAGAGGATGCCTGTGTTGCTGGAGCTGCCTTTGCAGGGCTGGCAGAGCGGGGCTGAGGCGGGCAGCCCTGTCCCCTCTGCCACGGCCGCCCCGGGCTGCTCCCCCGGCCGCGGGGCACGGCAGGGAGACAGCTCGCAAAGTTGCTCGGCTCCCCCGAGCCCCTCACCCGGAGTTTGGGGCTGCTGACCCCCTCCCCCAGGGCTTCTCGGTCGTGAAAACTGCCCTCCTCTCCCTCTCCTATTCTCTCGCTCTGGCGCTCTCTCGCCTTTTTTTTTTTTTTTTAATATTGGCTCAAAGAAGAAATGCAAGGATGGTATTTTCCATGGATGAACAAAGAGGTTGGGGCTGGGCGGTTTGATTTTTTTTTTTTTTTCTGGGAGGGGAGGGGGGGGGTACTTGCCCAGACAACGGACCTTCCTTCCCTGCGATCCGAGTCGTGCGCGGAGGCTGCAGCGCTCTCACGCCCTGCGTTCCCCCTCTGCCCGACCTCTGCTTAGCGCAGACACCCGGTTTACATTAAATCCTCCTTTTCCTCCAGAGAAATAAAGAAAGAACAGGGTATTTGCTTTACCATGACTTATGTGCAGTTTTCGCATCCAGGGGTAGATCTGGGGCTGTGAAGGCTGGGCTGTGCTTTGGTCGCTCGGGGCACTTGCCTGCTCGCTGCTTGCGGGAGTGTCTTCCTCAGTCCCAGACGAGGTGCCAACCCCGTCCCTGCTTATGTGCGTGGTGCTGCTGGAATTGGACGAGGTGCTGGTGGAGTTGGCGAGGGAGTTTTTCACGGCGTGGTGACTCTCGCCGACGGGCGAACCGGCCACAGCGGTGCAGGGCAGCGGGTCAGGTGGCGGCGAGTGCGAGGATGTCGCGGGCTGGTTGTACCTGGGCTCTGTCGAGGCAGAGGTGGCGTTGGCCGCGTAACTGCGGGATCTCTCGCTGGCACCAAAGTGGGTGGAAGCGGAGCGCCCGACGCTGAGGTCCATGCCATTGTAGCCGTATCCGTACCTGCCGGAGTGCATGCTGCCGGAGTCCCTGTATTGCTCGCTCACCGAGCTGTGATCTCCATAATTATGTAACTGGTAGTCCGGGCCATTTGGATAGCGACCGCAAAATGAGTTTACAAAATAAGAGCTCATTTGTTTTTTGATATGTGTGCTTGATTTGTGGCTCTTGGTCGTTTTGTGCGTCTATAGCACCCTTGCACAATTTATGATGAATTATGGAAATGACTGGGACATGTACTTGGTTCCCTCCTACGTAGGCACCCAAATATGGGGTACGGCTTCACATCACGTGCTTTTGTTGTCCAGTCGTAAATCCTGCCTGATGACCTCTAGAGGTAAACTCGTGCA